TTGATATGAGGTCAGGAGATCAAGACCATCCTGGCCAACATGATGAAACCCTGTCTCTTACTAAAAATACAAAAATTAGCTGGCATGGTGGCGTGCACCTGTAATCCCAGCTACTTGGGAGGCTGAGGCAGGAGAATCCCTTGAACCTGGGAGGTGGAGATTGCAGTGAGCGCAGATCGTCCACTGCACTCCAGCCTTGGTGACAGAGCGAGACTCTGTCTCAAAAAAAAAAAAAAAAAAAAGTGTAATAAAATACACATAGCATAAAATGTATCATTTTAACCCCCTGTCTCCCAGGCTGGAGTGCAGTGGTACGATCTCAGCCCACTGCAATCTCCACCTCCCAGGTTCAAGGGATTCTCCTGCCTCAGCCTTCCAAGTAGCTGGGATTACAGGCGCTCGCCACCACGCCCAGCTAATTTTTTGTATTTTTAGTAGAGATGGAGTTTCACCATGTTAGCCAGGATAGTCTCAATCTCCTGACCTCGTGATCTGCCCGCCTCAGCCTCCCAAAGTGCTGGGATTACAGGTGTGAGCCACTGCGCCCAGCCCATTTTAACCCTTTTTAAGTGTACAGTTCAGTGGCATTAAGTACCTTCAAATCGTGGTGGAACCGTCACCTCCATCCCTCTCCAGAAATCTTCTCATCTTCCCAAAGTGAGACTCTGTTCTCGTGTCCCGCAGCCCAGCCCCTGGCACTCGCCATTCCACTGTCTGCCTCTACGAATGTGATGACTCTAGGTACCCCCACAAGTGGAGTCACTCAGTGTTTGTCCTTCTGTATCAGGCTTATTTCACTTAGCATGATGTCCTCAAGGTTCGTTCATCCATGTTGCCGCAGACTCAGGATCTCCTTCCTCTCTAAGGCTGACTCCCGTCCCACTGTGTGGAGAGGTAACATTTTCTCCACCCATTCATCACTGATGGACGCTTGGGCTGCTTCCTCACTGGTTTTTAAAATTTATTTGTGGACATCCAAACAGTGGAAAATTGTGAGGCGATTTTTATAAAAATGAATGAGGCAGCCCTGCCCTGCCATGGAAAGGTCCTCAAAATGCACTGTGAGTGAAAAATCCCAGTGTGGGGAGTGTAGACAGCATGCTATCTTTTTGTGTAATACGGACAGAAAAGGGCGATACGTATTTACATTTCCTTGTCTTTGCATAAAGAACCTACAGAAAGACAAGAAACGAATAAAAGCAGTCACTTGTGGGTGGAGCGAAGGACCCTCATTACGTGGCTGTTTTTGTAGACAACGGACGCGATGCTCTGATCACTCTGCACACTCCCCTACCCCAACTCAGTCACTCCCCACGACCCTTCCAGGAGCCACTGCCCGGCTCCTGACACCTAAGCATATGCTCCCACGATCACAGCACGTTGCCCCCAGCTCCGCCGAGTCTCTGCACACGCTGATCAGTCCGTCTGGCATGTCTCTCTGCAGACTCCTTCCTGCCCTCATCCCTCAGTGCAGCCACCCTTGCCCAGCCCATTCCAGGCAGGCTGGAGCTCCTGCTGGAGGGAGGAGGAGCTGGCTGTCCCCGGGGGATGGAGGAGCAGCAGCGTCCTCGGTGTCCCCAGCTGTCCTCATGCAGAGGCCACAGGTGGGCACCTGGCCTGTCTGCACCAGCATGCCTGCAGGGAGAGGTGGGAGGGGCGGGAGAGGTGGGAGGGGCGGGAGAGGTGGGAGGGGTGGGGGCCCCCCATAGTGGCAGCAGCGCTGACCTCACCTCACTTTCTCTTTTTTTTTTTTTTTTTTTAGAGGGAGTCTCGCTCTGTTGCCCAGGCTGGAGTGCAGTGGCGCCATCTCTGCTCACTGCAAGCTCCGCCCTCCCGCGTTCATGCCATTCTCCTGCCTCAGCCTCCCGAGTAGCTGGGACTACAGGCACCCACCACCACGCCTGGCTAATTTTTTGTATTTTTTAGTAGAGACAGAGTTTCACCATGTTAGCCAGGATGGTCTCGATCTCCTGACCTCATGATCCACCCACCTCAGCCTCCCAAAGTGCTGCCACTGCCCCTGCCCATACCTCACCTTCTCTTAGGGGGTCTCCTAGGACATCCACCACAGTGAGCATAGAGAGTGGTTACCCTGTTTCCCTCACAGCACGCCTCCAGTGGGGCAGTCTCTGCATAGCTGTGCCTCCCCTGCCAGCTCCCTGAGCTCAGGCTTTGTCCCCATTGCCTGGAACACAGCCAGGAGTCACTCCATGCATACACGCAGGAATGGATGACCCTTGGCAACAGCAGGAAAAAATTGAAGCCTGCGGCACAAGGATAAGCCCATTCATTGATTCCCAGACCTGGACCCAGCTGGTGACACGATGGGTGATTGGAGGTCAGAGGGCCACTGGCAGCCCAGACCCTCTCCGGGCATCCCTGGGGGGTCACAATAGTTTGGCAACCACCACCACCCCTGGCTCCAGAGCAGAGCTGGATCTGAACACTTCTCCCACTTCCCATGTGCCCAGTACCTGGTTCCAGGCCAGGCCCCAGGTCCCCTGGGAGCCTCCTGGCTGTCTCTTTAAAGTGGCAGCCTCCTGGCCTCCTTCAGAAAGGCCCCTGCGTGGCACCTCCCACCGTCCTGCAGAGGCTTCCAGAGCCACCTCCACCCTTGCCACTGGCTTGTCAAGAAAATTGGGCTGGGATCTGGGGCAGGCCCAACGCTGCAGGGTGAACAGGTGCCAGGTGTCCAGCAGGAGACAGCAGACCTCCCAGGCTCACAGGTTTTCTGTCTTGTGGAATCAGGCCGAGCTGCCGGGCCCTGGGCAGGAGGCAGAGCAGCGTGCACCCTGCAGCTGGCCTATCCCACAGCTAGCCCCCTCCCACTGAGCAGGTGCAGCTTCCTGCATGCCTACCTGCACAGCCGCCTCCCCCTGGGACAGACAGGAGGTGATTTTGTGAAATTTTACAGTTTTATTGGCTGAAAATTGAACACTTACAGCATTGTCAGGGAGGCGAAAATAAGCTGTGTCTGTCACCATGGCCAGGATTGTCTGGGCTGCTGTCCACACCAATGCCTGAGCCCTTCCCATGCTGTAACCCAGTCCCAGCACCTCCCACACCCACATGCCCACGGGACAGCCCTCTGAGGGGCTCCTCTGATCCCCAGTGTCAGCTCTGGCCCCCCATGTCCTTCTGTCTCTATTCCCAGGGCAGGGTCACTCAGAATGCTGGAGAGGAGAAACAGGCCAGGGTCAGGGTTGCCATCGGGGCAGCAGGGACAGTGTGAGCAGGGGAGTCTCAGAGTCCTAAGAAGTAGAAGACCCTGCAGTGAGCTGGCAGGACTCCATGATCAAGAATGTAGGGGCGGCAGGGCGTGGTAGCTCACGCCTGTAATAACACGGTGAAACCCCGTCTCTACTAAAAATACAAAAAAATTAGCAGGGTGCGGTGGCGGGCGCTTGTAGTCCCAGCTACTCAGGAGGCTGAGGCAGAATGGCGTGAACCCGGGAGGCGGAGCTTGCAGTGAGCAGAGATGGCGCCACTGCACTCCAGCCTGGGTGACAGAGCGAGACTCCGTCTCAAAAAAAAAAAAAAGAATGTAAGGGCTGGTTAAACAGTGACAGGTTTAGCCAAGACACATCACTGTGAGGGCTCCTGGGCTTTCAAGGAAGACTGGCCTAGAGGGGTAAGTGGAAGTACTTCTGAGAGTAAGCATGGGCTACCTGCACGTGTGTATGGACACCTGCTGCTGCCAGGCCCGTCACTCAGAGCGGGGTCACAGAGGATGTGCTCTGGCCTCTGCCTGGAGGTCTGGGTAGAGAAGACACTGTAACGGCTGCAGCTGGCCTTTCTCTGTGCCAGGTGCTGACAGCAGCACCCCAGGCACCCAACAAGGCTGACGAGGAGAATTTGCTGATGCCCACCAGAGGTCAGGTGCAGCCTTGGTGGGAAGCAGGGAAGCCTCCACCGAGGAGGAGGCATTTCAGCCACACCTAGAGGGATGGGAGAGTGAAGATGGTGGGAGAACCTTCCCGCAGGAGGGAACGGCGTGTGCAGTGGTTCATAGTTGGAGAAGGCACTTGGAGGAGAGTACATGGCTGGTGCCAAGAGCAATGGGGTGTGATAGGCAGTGAGGATGGACAGGTCAGTTAGTCCAAATCACAAAGAGCCTGGAATGCCAGGTTAAGGAGGACAGCAGTTTTGACTGTACCTGAGAGAACCCCAACTTAAACAGGCACATGTGATGGAGAAGTCCACAGAGCAGCTTCAGGCACAGCGGGATTCGAGGTCTCCGACACTGTGCTCAGGAATGTGCCCACTTTCCTGGCCCCTCATGGTGCCACAATGGCCCCAGTAGTGTCAGGCATACATTCCACCAGCTCAAGGACTCCAGGGGGAAAGAAAGCCTCCAAGTGCCACAAAAGTTCTGGGACTGTAGCTGAGCCCCCCTAGTTTGGATGGGGCCAATCCCTGAACCAATCTTTGTGGCCAGAAGCAGGGGGATTAGGCCGATTATCCAGGCTTGTGAAAAACAACCTTCGTTGAGGCGTTGGGGGGGGGGCAGAATCTAGAAGAGGCCTGCCCCTGAGTGGGAACCCCAAAGTAGAGAAGAGATGGGTCCTGCAGGAAAGCTGAGAGGCTGTGAGAGGAAGGAGAATGGAGGCTCTGCTGTTAGGAAGGGGGTCCCTGGCAGCACTCCCAGGAAGTGACCACTGGACTCAGGCTGGCACGAAGTGGCTGTGGGGGGAGCCTGCCCAGCCAGGAGCCCCAGGACCAGCAGCTGCCACTCAGGTGCACCCCCCAACTCAGGTGCACCCCCACTCAGGTGCACCCCCACTCAGGTGCACCTAACTCAGGTGTGCCCCACTCAGGTCCCCACTGCTCCTTGCCATTGCAGGCAGGCATGCCACAGACGCTGAGTGCCTCCGACATGGTCACCCCAGGCAGCCTCAGCCCACCCACCACCGAGCCCACAGATGGCGAACAGGCCGGGCAGCCCCTCCTGGATGGAGCTCCATCCTCGGCCTCCCTGGAAACACTGATCCAGCACCTGGTGCCCACAGCCGACTACTACCCCGAGGTGGGTGACCTACCCAGCGGGCAGGAGAGTGGGCTGTCCTCCATCAGGCACGGGAGGCAACAGGGTTGGGAGTGGCCTTGGGCCAGGGTACGGGGCCAGCTGGGAAGCATGCTCCTCCCGGTGCCCTCCTTAGCCTGTGCCCTCTTTCTCGTTTGTCCCCCAGAAAGCCTACATCTTCACCTTCCTGCTGAGCTCTCGCCTCTTCATCGAGCCCCGGGAGCTCCTGGCCCGGGTCTGCCACCTGTGCATCGAGCAGCAGCAGCTGGACAAGCCGGTGCTGGACAAGGTGAGGTGGAGGGCAGGCCAGGGGGTCTCAGAGTGTACCAGCACTCCCCTGCCATGCCCTCAAGGCATCAGCCTCGCGGGGAGGCAATGATTGTCCCCGTTTTCCTGACAAGGTGGCTACAGGGTGTTTCCACCTTGTCTGAGGCCCAGAGCCAGAAGGAGCAGAACAGGCCCTTTAACCTCCCTGTAGTTTTCCGGTGCCCTACGGGAGCCCTTGAGCTTACATTAAGCCCAGACCTGAGTATCCGGAGTCTGGTCAGTAGGACCCATCTGTGGCCGGGGGCGGGGATCGCCTGCTGCCTCTGCTGGGCTTCCTTCTACCAGCACATCCGCGCCCCCTCCCCAGCCCTGGCCAGAGCCTGCGGGCTGCCTCTACTACACACACGTCGGTAGGGCTCTACCGCTAGTGAGAGAAACCCAACTTCCACCCGCCTGAACCAAAAGGACTTAGCTGGCTCCTGTACCTGCCCTATCTCAGGAACCAATGGCTCGGGCCTCAAACTACAGCATTGCACCGTGGCCTGTCTCCCTCCCACCCTCTGCCGCCGTTTCCCCGGGCTGGCCTCCCTCAGACTGGCGGGTGCAGTGCCCGGCCGCCTCCACCGCACCAGCCTCACCTACCACCCTTTCCAGTCACGTGGAAGCTTCAATCCCTTTTCTCTACCGGTCCAGTGAGCCTCCTCATTGGCCTATCCTAGGTCACGTGGCCGTCTGTGAGCCAATCACTGCACATGACAGAGTATGCACTGCTCTGATTGGTCGGTGCAGACCTGGACCCACCCCCCTGGGGCAGGGTCAGCTGCTCCTGAGAACTGCCCCCTCCCCGCGGCACGAAGACTCCCCCCGGGGATGGAGACTTTGCAGAAAGGCCGCAGCAAGAGATGGCCCCGCCCAGAAATGTGTCCGTCCCCGCTCCGCTCCCTGTGGGCGCAGGGCAGGATCGCACCACCCCCTCCCCGCCCCGGTACAGAATGGGTTCGAGGCCCTGCCTGCCCGGGCGGCCACACCCGCAAGGACGCGCAGTGAGGCTCACGTGCCCGCCCGGCGCCCCTCACGAGCGCGGTGCCCCTCGCTTACCTGCAGGCCCGGGTCCGGAAGTTCGGCCCCAAACTGCTGCAGCTGTTGGCCGAGTGGACCGAGACCTTCCCGAGGGACTTCCAGGAGGAGTCGACTATCGGGCACCTTAAGGACGTGGTGGGCCGCATCGCCCCCTGTGACGAGGTGGGCAGCCGGGCGGGGGTCGCATCACCCTGGGCTCCTGTCCCAGGCCTGCGCCTGTTCCGGCCCGCACCCCAGGGCCCTCATCTCCCCACCCTGCACACCTCTAAATCCAGCCCCTTTCTGGCCCATCAAGAAATCAGGCACTGCGGAGCTGGGAGGGAACGCTGAGTCTGGTGACCTCTCCCTGACTGCTCTCACCAATGGCATCAGATGGCGGGTGAGGGAAGACCCATTCATGGACTCTTCGGGCCAGGTGGCCAGGCTGTTGGCCTCTGACCTACTAGGGGGACTGGCAGAGCCCTGTCCTGGGCCTTGGCCATGGAGACCTCCCCGCTCCTGCCCCTGCCCCACTTCCCGTGCAAGAAGGGCTGGGCTGGTGGCCAGTGCTGCTAGGCAGGGACCTGCAAATCAGGGCCAGGGAAGAGTGTCTACAGGATGAACAAAAAAAACAGTAGCAGGGAAAATGACCACACCTGTCCAAGCAGATTCTCCTGGGATCCTCTCTGCCCCCAGGGGTAAGCTGCAAACCTTCAGGGCAGGGGCAGAGGAGGGGACAAGACCTCACCGCTGTAGTTAAACCACACCAGGTAAACACAGCCCTTGCCCTCAGAAAACCCAGTGGCTTGGGAGGCCTTGGGTGTGCTGGGCATGAGGTGCTGCTGTGGCCAACACCTGCTTTGCTCTCCCAGCTGTGTTCCCCTGAGGAGCACACTGAAGGGTATCCAAGCCTCACTTCCCTAATGGGCGAAAGGAGGACAAAAATCTTCACCTTCCAGGGTTATGGAGCTAGACATCTCCTGGTGTGTTTAGAAGGGGCAAGTTTATCAGCATCCCGGCATGCTACTGTGGGCAGCACTGCTGTAGCATTACCTGGAAGGGGAAACGCAAATTTATCAGCATCCCCAAATGCCACTGTGGGCAGCACTGCTGTAGCATTTCCTGGGAGGGGGAAACGTGGGCGGGGGCCCATGTTGGTTGTCCTGGAAGGAAATGGAACATGACAAGCTGGTAGTTGGTGACATGCTGCAGAGTGGGTCTGGACATGGCAGAAGAGCTGCGTGTGAGACAAGGGAAAACTGCCAAGACAGGCTGGGCAAGAGGAAGCCAAACGCCCACGGCAGACATAACTCAGGCTCTGAGGGAGGCACTGCCTGGGGTCACTTCACGCAGCAGGCAAGTGACTCAGAACTGAGCAGGCAAGTTCTGAGGCTCAGTGAGATGAGAGTGGTTTCCTCTTCCTCCTCCTGGCACTTCTCCCCTCCTCTGTTCTCCTCCTCACCCCCTCCTCTTCCTCCTCTGCATCCCCTAATCCATCTCGAGATTGTGACATTTGACTTAGGATGCAGCAGAAAACAGGGCCAGGGAACAGTTGATGATTGGCTGGGTGGGGGATGGGGACAGTGGAAACAGGGAATGGGGTGCTGGCTGACCGGCTGGGAAGACCTTAGGCTACTTTTATAGATGAATGTGGGAGAGAGTAGGTGACTGGGTAATTGGATAGGCAGGTGGATGCATGGGGTAAGTGGATGTGTAAAGATTAATGGAAAGAAGAGAGGGAGAAATGTAGGAACGGGAACGGTGGACGGGTGGGTGGGTGGATGGGTGAATAGATGGAGGGGAAGGTGGATGGGTGGGTGGGTGGATGTGTGAATAGATGGGAGGGAAAGGTGGATG